TATACATAACAAAAATATATATATTTATATGAATTCGAATATATATATATATACATATATGCGTATATATATATATATTAAGGAGATGTATATGTTGGGATTTAGGCTACAGATTCCTAGCATGCGATCATATCGATCTAGGGTTTGGTTAATATAGATATATTTTGTGTTTATATATTTTTATATATACGAATATGATGTGTATATATACTCATATATGTATACGAATAAGTGTATATATATATTAACCATATATATATACATAACAAATATATATATATATATGAATTTGAATATGTATATATGTAAATATGTATAAATATTTATATATGTATATATATTAATGTTATATGATATCAGAAGTTTAACTTGGAGGAGTTGGAAGAGTTCTAATTGGAACTCTAGGGTTAAGGAGGATTGAGCTGGAGCAGTGGAAGGATGGGTGACCTACTGGGAAGTGAGTTTCGGGATCGTGGTTTGGTCGGGTCGGGGTCGGGGTCGGTGTCGTTGTCGGTGTCGGGGTCGGGGTCGGGTCGGGAATATGTTTCGAATTTTTCGTTGGAAAATTCCAACGGAATGCGGTTGAAAATTCCGTTGGAAAATTCCAACGGATATCGGTTGGAAAATTCCAACGGATTGCGGTTGGAAATCCGTTGAAAAATTCCAACGGAAAAATTCGTTGAAATTCCGTTGAAAATTCCAACGGTTTTCCAACGGACACCGATTTCTAACGACGAAATTCCAACGGATAAATCCGTTGGAAACGTTAATTTCCAACGGAAATTTGGCCATTTCCAACGGATCCGTTGGAAATGACCATTTTTTTTGTAGTGATATTTCTATCCGAAAACAATCATATAAACAGTTATGTGGTTGGAAAACGGATTTCATTGTTTATATAATCGTTGCTTTCATTATTGGTCGGATGCATGTTTCCTCCCTCTAGTCCAATGCATTATTATACTTTGATATTCTATTGATTTTATTGAAACGACAAAATGCAAAATATGAATATGGTTATACTTAATTCTACAGAAAAATATGGAATCATAATACATTTGTAAGATAACACTATCAAGGCAATAACAAACCTGTATGATTAAACAGTTTTTAAATCTATCTATTGTGAATAAAACAAAATTATGCATAAGTGGGAGTACATCACATAATCACATACGTATATACACACATAGGCACGTGTACGTAACGTAGCAAAAATAGACAGTGAGGGTACGAGGGTAGTACTAGTGAGTAAATGAGCTCTTGTGCAAATTCCGACCGACAAGTGGTAATTGTGAGTGACACGTGCTTTAGGATTCGCACGTGCGGCTTTTCCTTTTACTTTTCTGTACCTGTCACTGTCGGGTGTTTGCTTGCGTTAGGACTTAGGAAATGTGTCTGAGCACACGTAAAATTTTTAAACTTTTTTTTTTAAAAAAATTATATGAAATATGTTTTTATTTTTAGCAATTTAGCTTTTTGCTTAAATTCAACATTATCTCAAAATATATGCATTATTAGGGGAAGATTGATATGGATAGAGGATGGGCACGTATTTTATGAAATATATTATATGATATTTTTGGTGATATAGAGTATGACAAATTAGTTAATTAAATTATTTTTTACTTCATCTGTTTATACTCTATTCGTACGGTTTCATTTTTTTTAAAAGATATATCAGTTTTTATATTTGTGTTTATATATGTAAATATTGTTCTGAATTAAATTAAAAAATGTGTTGTATTGTGATCAAACGTATGGAATATTTTATATACGCGTATAAGCTGATCAAGGAGTTTAAAATATAAATTTCATACTAATTGTGACGTTGTACTAATTCGTTTCTCTCATGCACAATAACAAAAGGTCGAAAATACTCCCAACCTGGATTCAAACCCAAGCATGGGGAAGAGTATTCACCTGGGTTTTTCTGGTCTTCTGGAAAATGTAATCGAGTTAAAGGCACGGTGAACTTCCGGATTATTAAAAAAAATGTTTGAAAATAATTATAAAAACAATAAAAGCAACAAGATTATATGATTACTACGTAACCAGAGAGTCACGACACAGAGGATATTCCTCGCGATCGGTGTTGGTTTAATATATAGTTTTCAAATTTTTTATTTTAACAATAAAACAAATTTCGAATATATTGTTTTGTTCCTAATCACCGCCACCTCGGTTTTGAAAAAGACGACCTAGCGACCTCCATTCTTTTTCACAACAATATCTTGATTAATATATTTCTCATGGTTATAATCATTAGCTATATTAGTTATAATTTTCCTTTTAACAAATCAGTATATCAACAAATAGACCCACTAGTCGCTCATCCCCAAACGATATATAGCTATTTGATTGTACATCACATGAATGCCCACATCCAATATATACATATATATATATATATATGCATAATTTGATCTCCAATATGTATTAGAAGTATGTAGTAGGTGCATATTTATACATGTATATCATTTTAATTTTTAGGGTCACCAACAATGGAATGTGGGTCACGAAGACACTGTTCATCATCATTGCCAATCTAACCCATCAAATGTTGGACTTTAGTGTTTGTGGTACATTTTTGTCCTCGCGCCTTAAATACATATCGTTCAATCTATTTCTTTTTCTTTCACATATATACACAAACATGACCTATATGTACAATATACAAAACTAAAACGCACTTGATTTGTCCGTGTAATAGAAATAGTCACATGCAAGGATGACTTTTTATATATATATATATATAGTAATTATTTTCAATAGAGAAAATGTAAAAGTTGCCTACAATCCAATCCCATGAGCTGATTTGCTCCCACCTTTTGATGGTACATAGTACATACATACATACATGCATACATATATGTATATGTGATTTCTCACATGCATTCATTCATATAAACTACCCATATAACATCGGTATTTACGAAGATACATATACTCGTCGTCTAAAGGATTTTACCATGGTTTAGATAAAAACATCTTTTCGTATAGGGCATTATTAATTTTCCTTAGGTAAACGCAAGGCCTGCAATATTGACTAGGATGCTGTTCATCCACGACTTGAACCCGGACTTGACTCGGTCGAACACGTCAGAAACCCGAGTTCCCTTGCGGCAAACCGGAGAGATGCGTTTCAGACTGACCCTGTGAAGGGCATTTCCGGAATTCCCAGCGCAGGCTCCGGGCGCTGCATTCCCTTTGTAAGCATTGCAGATGTAGCCTATGAAGTTCTCGTAGTCCTGTAAACAACAGCGCCATTAAAGCTCCTTCCAGCCATCAATAAAGCATGAAATCGCATATATATATGAGAACCCTTTTACCAACTATTTATGGCAAAAAGAGTGAAAGTAAAATGTAAAAACAAAACGCCTCCTCTTGTCGTTGATGATGGAAATATCAAGCTTTCAGCCTGTAGATGAGGGGAGAGGAATAGACACACTAATCCAAGATACCCATAATCGCTGAAAGCCCGAAGCTTTTCTTTCTTTACTAATCCAAGATACCCACAAGGAACAAGCTTTCAGCATGAATTTGGCAAATGCTGTTCTACCATCCACGGAGCGTGAGACATTTTTTTTTTGCACCAACTACCAATCGAATTCCTGACCTAGTTCATTAAATGAAACTAAATCCGAATGATTCTACACCGAACCAGCCATATTGAATTTGTGTACTGTATATTCCAGTATGTGATGAGTGAATATAGTGATGTTATGGCTATACAATTGGCAAACGAGCTCAGGTTTGAGAAATTCGGATAGCGAACCTCATACAGCGGTTGACCATCCACAACTACCCAGGGCACGTATTTATGTGGCGGCTGAAGCGCGTTTGTTTCTGCGGCATATTGCAATTCAAGCTGAAGCAAAAGAAAAACCATTACAAATCAAACAAAAACATTGATGAATAATAATCCAAAAGCTTCAAAGCGAGCAAGTATAGGAAGTGTAAAAACCGAATTAGATAACTAAGATTAGGTGCCTTTTGGAAGTGGCATCAAAGAACAAACAAAACAACACAAGCTCCAGAGGAGCGATGGCAGGAGGGCTATATCGTGTGGTTTCATATTTGTAACCAAATGTAGGTTCCATTAAAGCGGGAAGGTGTCTTGGAAACAGTAATGATTTCCATAGAAACCTGTCTACGCTCATAATAGCGGTCCAATCATGTTTTAAAAGGAAATTCTAAACAAACAATTAAATCAAACCAGGACTAAAACTTGGGTTGCATTGCATTCCTCCGGCAAAGGGCACTTGGTTTCTGGTCTTTATCTCTTCTAAGCCCTCTAAATTATATATCTGGTGGTTTATTTCCTCTGAAAGTGAATGTAAGTTCAGAAAAATGCACCATGGATATGGGCACTTCCCGGAATATGGATTGCTAATTCAACATCTCAGGAGGGAAATGAACTAACAATGTGATGCTAAAAATCAACCAGCAAGTCAATGGAAGTAATGTTTTTCACAGTGAACTTTCGGAATAAACCACACGAAGAGGAGGGCACTGACCTCTATTCCATGTCCGCTGCTGAGGCAATCATCCATAGGTTTCGAGTTCAACTCAAGTTTCTCGTAACATGTCTCCCACTTGTCATACTTGTGTTCAGACACCAAACTCTCGACACAGTAGATGAACGGGAAATGGTCACTCTGCAACAAAGGTTAATGCCTTTCAGACAAAAATGCCTTACGAGATGAAGTTACGCCAAGTGTGAAAAGTTTACCAATTTGGGCCAAGCTTCAATTGCACAAGCTTCTACCGTGTCCAACAAGCACTCGTACGGCCCGTGCTGCAAGAAACATACAGCAGATTCATGGAATCGATTCAAAGAACTTGACAAAGGTTATAATGGAGAACGGACGGGGGGAGAGAGAGAGAGAGAGAGAGAGAGAGAGAATCAATTTCACAATCTCGTTATCATTCGTAAAGATCCCACATACACAGCTTCGAATCAGATGGAAACAGCATAAACATTCGTAAAGATCCCAAAGGCAATTTCACATTACGTGACCGGCGATTACTCAGAAATTAACCGAATATAAAATCAATATCGCAGATTAAACCTAGATCCACAACCAAATCTAGTAGAATCCGAATGCGCGATTGATTTCGTCGAATTGAAATAAAAATCGAAAGGAGAAGGAAGGAGGGACCTACCTGGCAGACGAAAGTGAGGTTATCTGGCCGGAGCTTGGTGTTGCCCCAAGGAGAGAGGTGGAGATCGACGATGGAGATGAGATCGTCATCGAAGAGCTTCACGAGGTGGTTAACTATGAACTTCGCGCTGTACGGACACAGAGACTCGTAGTACAGACCCACCGAGACTTTCTGCGAAGAGGACGACGACGGAGGAAGAAATGCTCCAGACGATGATGATGATGACGCGATGCTCACGAGGAGGAGGCAGCAGCAGAGAAGGAATGAGCACTTGGTCGATGTTAGCCGAACCGTCATCGTCGCCATTGAAGATCTTTTCCTGTTGATTCGTCTTGTCAAATAGAGGAACAAGGCTGATTGTTTCACTAATCTAAATATTGGCGAAATTCAAACAACGGCTTTGCCACGTGTTCATACTATTAAACTCGGTTTGGTTTGATTCGGTTTAAGGGGTTTAGGGCCGTACCAAGTTGCAATCAGATTAAATTCCTATTAATGAGTTTACTTCCGATTTCCCGAAACAATTCGTGTAATCTCATCATACAAATTGCAAATTATTCAGCTTGACTAGAATCGAAAAGATATTCAGTGTTATTTTGGACCGGTTCGGTTTACCGCCACAAAAGAAACACGTGGAACGGTGAAGACTCGTGCATGCAGAAGCAGAACACACGTGTACTATCAAATGCCCCGACCATATAATATTTCCTTTCTCTGCCCTTCACAAAACAATAAATATTACAATAATTCGAACCGCCATAACCATCACAGTCCCCAATGTTGAATTTCATTTAATAATTAGATCAAATGATCCTTAACCAGGTCAATTACGGCTTTTACAGGGTCGACAGTTGCAAATTATTCAGCTTGACTAGAATCGAAAAGATATTCAGTGTTATTTTGGACCGGTTCGGTTTACCGCCACAAAAGAAACACGTGGAACGGTGAAGACTCGTGCATGCAGAAGCAGAACACACGTGTACTATCAAATGCCCCGACCATATAATATTTCCTTTCTCTGCCCTTCACAAAACAATAAATATTACAATAATTCGAACCGCCATAACCATCACAGTCCCCAATGTTGAATTTCATTTAATAATTAGATCAAATGATCCTTAACCAGGTCAATTACGGCTTGAACAGGAACTGGATGGTGCCAAACCGGTAGAAGCCAGCCACTTCTATGCCGTGTCTTGTTCAGACCGAAAGCTCTGGTCGATTGAGCCGAGATACAGAGCTGAATAAAAGCGAGTCCACTGAATACCAGAGCTGAATAAAGGACAACTACCAAACAAAACCATTGTCGTTATAAGACAAAATCATGCCCTTTCATGAGTGTGTATATATATATATGCGCCTATGATCATATGTTACTGGGATACATGAAGACTCTGACCCGAGCTCCCTGCAAATGCATTACTCAACTCCATTAGAACACATATGAGAATATACATTATCACAAGAAAGAGGTTTATGTCGTTGTATGATCTTTGATTACCATAGACTTGGGAGGCAAGTTCGATTTGAATTTGGCACGAACCACACCGCTGTTACCGTGAGGTCTGACCACTTTGCCCCATATGCATCGGTAATGGCTGCCATTCTTCTTTGTCTTGGCCTTGTAGATGTAAGTGGTTGCAAAATGAGCGAGACTTGGCTCGTTTTTTTACCGAGTTGGGCTAGAAAAATAAAAGACCAAATAAAAACAGGCCGAACGAATCAATCCGCAGCGAATCCGAACCCATCCAAACTTGTTGGTGTATGATACTTTCTATGCTATTTTGATGACATGATACCAGATTTTTTTGTTAATTTTTTTTTTATTTAGATATAATTTTATGGATTGTTATATTAAATATTTTATATTATGTTAAATGATTTCAAAATATTGTTACGTAAATTTCAAATTATTAATTATTATATAATTTTAATTTTTTTTTATTTAATTTTTTTCGGATAATTACGTAAAAACAAACTGACTCGTTCACGGAGAATTAGGTAAAAAGTGACTGACTCATGCGTAGGTAAGAGTTTTTCTAACTTGTAAAAAAATTGACCGAATGGACTGCGAAAAAATGAACTAGCTCGACACGAGCCGGTGCGAGCCCGCCTGTTTTACGTCACTATGTAGATGTAAGCCATCCTCTTCCCCAAATATCATGCCACCTCCTCTTGGTGTTGACCCCCTCGATCTGGACCAGTGATGTGTTTGGGTACTGGTTCGACTTTGACCTGTATACAGAGAAAGATATTAACCAAAAATGTATGGAAAACTGCAACGTCGAGCCTATGACGAGCTATGAGAACAAAAATGTCCTGACCCCAAAAAAAGACAGAGAAAAACCCTAACTCCAGAGTAGTTCAGGAAGCATGCCTAGAGACATCAAGCGCTAAAAACTATGGAAATACAACAGAGAATCTCGGAAGATATCTTTCAAATTTAGCAGAAGCCAAAGCTTAGTGCAGAAGAAGTACCTCACTCGCTCTCCTTGGCGTCCCTTCTCCATTTTCGCAGTGCGTGCTCCTGCTCCACTCCAGAGGAAGACGGAGAGAAGAAACCCTAATTCACCGATTTTTTTTACCTGGGCTCGTTACCCTGGTATGGGCATATGGGCCGAAAAATACAACTTCCGGTTTCTCCATGACACCAAGGGTTGCCGGTCTCAAGTTTGATTTGATCGATGATTACTTTTAGCTTCTTGTTCAAATGCCGGTTTCTCCATCCCCCGTATTGTGGTTTTATCCATCTTCCAGTTTGAACTTTAAGCTCTGCAAGGTCAGATCTATCTGCCCAGTTTGGGCAAAAGGGTAGTCCAGTACCTGAATATGTGGCCGAACTATCCGAGACCCGGACCCTCTGATCAGAACACAAGCAAACTCGACATCGAGTCCAACAAAATCGTCTGACTTCGTCAAGTTTGATGTCGGTAATGTCGTTATGGTCACCGGAGGAAGGGACAAAGGCCGAGTGGGTATAATCAAGAACAGGGAAAAGTACAAGACAAGCTTCGAGACAATACACATCCAAAGACGGACCAGACTGGGCCACGAGTTTGCGACCCGTGTTGGGAGTGTGTTCAACATCGGCAAGGGTCAGAAACAGTGGGGTTCTCTCCCAAAGGATAAGGGTGTGAAATTGTCCATCATAGAAGAGCAGAGGAAGAGAACTGCTGCTTAAGTTTTGGGTAGTGTCTGAATAATGCCAAGGGCACAAAACCAGTCAGGTTTTCTGTATGTCGGAATAGGTTTAGACGGCAGCTTCACCGGAAATGTGGATCACCGTACAAGTTGTCGCCTTTTTTTTACCATCCCTTTTTTCTTTGGAGAGTCAAGGGCAGTATTCATATATTGAATCACGATTCTGTAAGACAATGATCCATGAATTGGAAAGTACTTTCCTTTCTGGAGACAGTGGAATTCACTTGGTGGCAAAGTTTAGTACTTTCGCAATGGATTAGCAAGAACCATCGTCAAATCTTTTACCATCAGACCAGGCTCCTGAATATTTGTTGGGACCATGCTGAGTATCTGGAGGCGGACGTTGCAGAAGCCAATCGGAGGTTTCATATACCTGAAAGTGCGAGGTTTTAGATGTTAGCGTGCTCGTCGATTATGGAAGAAAGTGGAGAAGCAAAAATTTTGAAATTTCTTGCTCCTAAACCAATAGAGCAAGAGTTAACACAGGGAATGAATTCCAGTCTACATACAGATTGACAACAATTCATCTGGATCAAGTAGTCTGAGCCATGTTCATAGCAAATCCAGAAATGTATGACTTGAAGAAGTTTCCGACCGAAAAATCAGCTTCTAGGGAAAGGAAGATCATAGATATAAAAGCCACCAATCATTCTATATTCAATTAGGGAGGGATCATCAGCATGGTAAACGAGTCGTATAAGACATAATGAAACAATTTCTTTATTATTTCCCCATCAACTCTTATCTTTTGATCATTTTCAGAACATTGGCATACAGTAGACACGGAACTTGAAATGAAAGCCTTTTACTTCAGAGTGCTTCTCAAGGAGAAAGATATTAACACTTCATGACGTTAAGTTACAATCCATCTGGATTCTGGGAAGATGTCCAGTCCACTACGTACCTGGCGAGTAACCTAAGATTCAGAATATGGGCGGTGACCGCCATATATTACATCCTGGTTTCCTGAACTTGCAGCAAATCCTTGGTCTGAAATGAATGAACTATCGAATTCAGAAAGTTGGATTTGCAGGCATACAAAAGTGACATATTCTTAATGCTTGATCAAAACTACATTGAATTTTTTTTTACTTGGGCTTGGTGCCTCTATAGCTGCTCCTTTAGCCTTGTTCCGTAAGCTAGCCAATTCTTCACGAAGCTTTATGATCTCAGAGTTTAGGAGCCCAAAGGTTTTCTCCATTACACGCTTATGGTGAAGATTACTTGCTCGTGTCTTCTTCTCAAGCTCCATGGCTTCCCTGTTTGGATACATAACAGAGAATGTTAAAAGTTCTATGAGACAACCTTTTGTTTATCTATTACATCATGGGTCATCACCAAATTCACTAGGGTGATTCCACTTTGTTCAGTTTATGTTTCAAAAATTGAGATAGTTATCAGAACTCTATGGATAAGTTCCCCTGTCCCAATCCAGGTTTACTTGAATTTTAGAGTGTGAAAGTATCAAATTCTAGCTAAGATATCAAACAAGGTTGATGCTTAATCTAATTGACCGCTAGTGATCAACTTTCCAGTTCAGTTGCCTTCTCTTCCACCCCAAAAGCTCTGTTGTACAGAGACCGTGTTCGAGTCTTCGAACTCGTCATCGAAGCAAAGACCAAAAACCCAATTCCATAAAAGCAAAGAAAGCAAGTGGACTTTAACTTTCACCTTCCTTTCCGAATTTCCTCCCGTAGAGTTTCAATATCGCCCTTAATCTCCGCCGCTCGTTCCGAATCGGACTTAACCTTGGTCAACTCGCCGTCGATCGTCGCTAGCTCCGCCGCTAGCTCATCCCTACCCGCAGCGAGCTTCTGTACATCCGCCCTCACCTGGTCAAGCTCCACTCCAAGTACACCGACCACACGAGCCTCGGCTTCAATCTTCAGCGAGCTCTGGTAGACCTCCCGCACCTTCGCATCTCTCTCCGCCTTAACCTTCGCGGCCGTTTGGAGCAGCCGCTCGAGCTCGAGCTTCGCGGCGGCGAGCTCCTCCTTGAGCGCCACGTGCGCCACCGCGATCCGCTGGCAATATCGCCCTTAATCTCCGCCGCTCGTTCCGAATCGGACTTAACCTTGGTCAACTCGCCGTCGATCGTCGCTAGCTCCGCCGCTAGCTCATCCCTACCCGCAGCGAGCTTCTGTACATCCGCCCTCACCTGGTCAAGCTCCACTCCAAGTACACCGACCACACGAGCCTCGGCTTCAATCTTCAGCGAGCTCTGGTAGACCTCCCGCACCTTCGCATCTCTCTCCGCCTTAACCTTCGCGGCCGTTTGGAGCAGCCGCTCGAGCTCGAGCTTCGCGGCGGCGAGCTCCTCCTTGAGCGCAACGTGCGCCACCGCGATCCGCTGGTTATCGGCCAAAAGGGATTGGATCTCTCGCTGCTGGATCTCGATCCTATCCTCGAGGAGGACTGAGGATCGGATCCGGGTTGGGTCGGATCCGATCAACGACTGATCTCCAGATCTATGTGAGCTCAACGCGACGGATGTCGGAGGACGGTAACGGTCCCGGTCACGATCGCGGTCGGCCATCTCGCCGTCGCCGTGCGATCGCCTCATGCTGCTGGCTTTCGCTGTGGTTCTGTAGAAACCCTTAAGGGCTCGTAGCTAAAGTACGCCCTTAAAATTCACCGCTAAACTATACCATCTATTACACGTGTCACGATCTGAGGTTGTTTCTTAATTCTTACCTTTAACGGTTTTATTAATTTTAAAACTCAAATCAAACACCTGATTGAGAATTAAAGCGCCTATTCTCTTCAAAAGTTTTTCTTCAAGAAAATGTCGGACGCGATAATCACCGATCAGATCTCTCTCTTTCTCGCTCGGATACGCGACAGGAGGTCTTTTTATTCTCACTCGATCGATCACCTGAAATCGCAAGTTTTGTTTGTATCAGAGTGAAATTAGTTCCTCTTCCCGATTTGCAGGTTCGATGAAGAATCTCTCCGTACTCTCAAATTGTTTCTGGCGGAAAAGGACGTCAAATCGTTGTGTCAGGCACAATCTGGCTTGAGAGACATCATGAAATCCGACTTGATCCACATTTTCGGTGAGATCGGTGGGGCATCAATCATTCGGAAGCTCTCCGTGCTCGAATTCTTTGCTCGTGCTTTTGCTCTTATCGGTGATATGGAGGTTCGTAGAGTCTCCTACTCTCTCACATCGCTAATTTCCAGGCTTCATTTTCATCTTGATCACTGCTCGCAAGTTCTGAGAGTGAAAATGAATCGGTGGGAGTCAATTTCTTTTCCTTAGATTTTTAGGTTTAAAGTAATTATGCAAGGCACATATGCCCCTTTTTTACTGGCTAATCTAGTTTTTTTTCGTTTGAGTAGAGTTGTTTGGCTGTGAGATATGAAGCATTAACATTGCGAGAGCTCAGGTCCCCAACCCCAAGTTGCGCGTGGCTTAGTGTTTCACACTCAGAATGGGTTGAATTTGCAGAACAGTCATTGGAAAACGGATTTTCTTCTATTGCTCGAAAGGTAATCATGCTTCTCCATTTGGTAATCGATTTCGTTCCTTTAAAAGACTGACTCAGTCATTCACCTAAAGAGAGAAAAGGGTTCAAAATTCCTAAAATAGATATTGCCCCAAGACTAATTTGATGCTACTAGCCTAGGATTGAATGACGAATGTTACTGAAAATTTAAGAAGACCATGAGCAAGCACATCGCAGCCAATATGTGCTCTGTGACTGTGCGTTGGATGCACAATTATTTGTTGTGTTTTTGTTTAAAATGTTTCTTCAATTTCTTCTTTGGACTCACGTTTTACAGCAAACTTGCTCTGGTGTTTGTGTAGGCATGTGAAAATGCCGTACTGTGCCTTAAGAAAGATAGAATCTCAGAACCGAAATCAGAAGAGCATTCTGAAGTTTTGGTTGCTACAGAGAAAGCAAGCAGACTTGGGGATTCAGCTGCCACATGTGAATCTTCACATTCTGGTATTATGCCTAAATTCAACTTTTATGCTTCGAGAAGCATTCTTTGATACAAAGCTCTGATTAAATTTTGATTGAATTCTTGGCATAGATCCATAATAGATTCTCTGTATGAATATCTACCTGACAGTGGGCCAATTCTCAGCGTAACCAAATCATAATGACTCTCTCAATGGCTTAGTTTGCTGATTTGGAATAGTTCTCGGCAGAACGAATATTGTCAGTTGTTGCATGGTTTAACTTTTTATTCTGTTTAGGTATTTAAACGAACATCAACACTCAGTTGTTTGACTTAGAAATATGTGATCACCAAGTCAATCCACTGTAACAGTTCAGGCACAGGCTGCAGAGTACTTGAGAGGCAAGGAACTCAGAAAACTGAACAGACAACCTCCAATGATCCAAAAGATAGACTTCACGGGCAGCAGTTTATTCAGAGACGGAATTAAGAAGCGTAACGAACGAATGTTGCAAGATCTGCGTACCATTCAGATTGCCCCTGAACAATATCCACATGTGTAATAATGCTCCGATGAAGGTTAGCTTCCGATTGACTTTGTATTAGGTTGTTACATAAGTCTAAAATCCCATATGGATTGCATTTGACACTACCTCTAATGGGTCGACTGCAAAGGCGGCGTTTGTCAATTTGGCGGTTGTGGGCGATTGAAAAACTAATTGGTTTAAATTACAATCGCTACAAACTATGAGAAACCTAATCACACCTCTCCCCCTGCATTTTGATTTTCAGAAAGGGAGCAAATAAGCTATTTGAATTGAAGTGACCAACTATCAGATAACACAAGAACCATGTGGAGAACGAACGGTAATAATGTTACATTCTCTCAACTCATTTGCTGATTGATGTCGTTTCCTTTATTCCCATACAAAATGATGACATTTTTAAGGCGCATTTACGTTGCTTAAAAATCTTAGGATTTTTAATTCTAAGCAGCATCAGAGTTTGTCTCTGTCTGCGAAATATTCATGTTATATTTTAGCCCATATATTTACGTCCTGAGGCCCATACCATATCCATGGTTACGTGTCTTGCAAGTAATAAGCGTACAAGAATTTCAGACAGAGAGCTCTACGTGCTACATTACTACATTACACTACATCACACGTTGTCTGACAAATTCACCGATCCATTCAGACATGGAAGCTGGTAAGAACAGCCATGGCTGTGAACCGAACCGAAAATGAACTAAATTGGTCAAAATTGAAGAGAACCAGTCCAAAATTGATCAAATCTGGCCTAAACCGGCTAAAATTGAACCTACCATTACCTGGTTTGACCTGAACTCGATCGAAGGATCAAAACCGGTTTTAAAAGTCTGAAGAGTAACAAACTCTCTCTGAACTCTCTGAAGAGTTGTGAAATGTCTGGTTTGTAGGAGTTTAAATAGATAATAAATACTCATACGTACCCGGTAAGACGACGACTTCAATCTGATCTGATAATCCAGTCTTCAACCTATCAAAACACGTATGAAAACAGTAGGGAATCGGATATGACTTCAAGGCGTGATACACTTTCCTAAAAGCGTTATTCCATCCCTACCGGGTAAATGAGATTACAGGAATACACTTTCGAGATACAATGAAGCGGCAATGATTTCGGTTTACCCTTCCGACAATCATCAAACAGAACCTTGTTTAACCGAAAACAAAAAGACCCTTGCGATAGTTTTTCTGCCGAAAAACTATCCGCAAGAACACTCAAAACTCTCAAACAATGAATTAGATATCATATATCTATTCTATTTCATGTTAGGATGTCCAGAGGTGTTTATAAACACTCCAAAAGTCGAAAGGTGCAAAGAAATCGGAAGTTTTTCCCGAACGGTCGCGATATTTCGTTCATTCAAACTGCTCAGAAAAAACGGGCTGCCCGCCCGTATTTTCGAGCTACCGCCCGTTTATTTCTGGGCTATATTCCTTAGACAAAACAGGATGTCCGCCCATGTTTTCGAGCTGCCCTCCCATTTTTTCTGAGATCACCTTTCACGTTCAAAACCGAACGTAAACTTTTCCAACAAATCCTTAACACTTAGCCAACTCATGACACGTCTTTTACAAGCATTTAACTCCTCCACCATACTTGTAATACACGTGAAACATGAATCCTTTTGAGAGATTCAAACCAATCATCCATTTACTCTAAAATACCAACAATCCTCCACCATTTTAGAATAAACAACAAATGATTGAAATAATCAAGTGTTTTTCAAACAGTTTCCAATTTTGTGCATAAGTGAAAGTGTCGTAACGATTGAACTTCCACGTAGTGCAATATACTTCAATAACTCGAATTCCGTAGGTGTCGAAAACGATTGAACCTACGTAATCCTGTTGAGCTACCGAGTACATAACACACACAAAATCAATACAAGTTTCTGTTTACCTTGACACTTTTATATGACCATGTGTCCATATCCTCTTCATGAATGCACAAATGTCAAACCTTAAAGCATTTTCGAAGCGGCCAAACTTCGCATTCACATAGGTAGATCTTTTAACAAAAATCATGTCGTGCAACTCGACACTTTTTCAAAAGATCTATTAAGGAAAACCTCCAGTCTCCTTTACGTTGCAATTCAAAGCACCGACCTTGGGATGATTTTTATTTGCGTGCTTTCAATCACAAGATAAAAGGTTTAACTCTTTGAACTCTAGCTCTAACGTTGTATTAGATGTTGAGTAGAGATCCTTTTATTTGTAATCAACAATAAGGTTTTATTTTCATCCCTAAACTATTTTGTGCAACACAACATTGACATATTCCGTCAATCTTTTCCTTTGCACAAAATAACCGACATACAAGAATTTTTCCACATAGCTATGATTTAACATGTATGTCTTTTCATCATTGTACAATAAATACATACCATTTCTAATGATCTTATTCTTTGCGATTAACTTATAGAAACAAAAACTTTCTTTTTCCGAAAGTCTTCAACATTATAGTTTAGACCAAACTATAATATATTTGCATTTTTCAAACCGAAAAACGTCTATACAATCGCATTCGAAGAAAGATCTACCGTCGATTTTTCAACCAACAAAACATAAGACAACATAAATTTTTCTCTTTATGTCCAAAACACCATGTTCGATATATTTCTGATATCTTCAACTTGAACCGTTGAAATCTGATATCCACCGATCATAAACATGATCAGTTTTCTATCCACGGATTTAACCGAGACTTTGAGTACACATTACAAGTATTTCCGCTTCATTATCACCATGAAGTCATAGATCCCAAATAACGCTTTTAGATTGTAAGATTTTAAATAGATAATAAATACTCATACGTACCCGGTAAGACGACGACTTCAATCTGATCTGATAATCCAGTCTTCAACCCGGTAAGACGACGACTTCAATCTGATCTGATAATCCAGTCTTCAACCTATCAAAACACGTATGAAACAGTAGGGAACCGGATATGACTTCAAGGCGTGATACACTTTCCTAAAAGCGTTATTCCATCCCTACCGGGTAAATGGGATTACAGGAATACACTTTTGAGATACAATGAAGCGGCAATGATTTCGGTTTACCCTTCCGACAATCATCAAACAGAACCTTGTTTAACCGAAAACAAAAAGACCCTTGCGATAGTTTTTCTTCAGAAAAACTATCCGCAAGAACACTCAAAACTCTCAAACAATGAATTAGATATCATATATCTATTCTATTTCATGTTAGGATGTCCAGGGGTGTTTATAAACACTCTAAAAGTCGAAATGTGCAAAGAAATCGGAAGTTTTTCCCGAACGGTCGCGATATTTCGTTCATTCAAACTGCTCAGAAAAAACGGGCTGCCCGCCCGTATTTTCGAGCTACCGTCCGTTTATTTCTGGGCTATATTCCTCAGACAAAACAGGCTGTCCGTCCATGTTTTCGAGCTGCCCTCCTATTTTTTCTGAGATCACCTTTGACGTTCAAAACCAAACGTAAACTTTTCCAATAAATCCTTAACACTTAGCCAACTCATGACACGTCTTTTACAAGCATTTAACTCCTCCACCATACTTGTAATACACGTGAAACATGAATCCTTTTGAGAGATTCAAACCAATCATCCATTTACTCTAAAATACCAACATGGTTTTGGGTTTCAGTCGGTGTGAGGCTGTTTCTTGGGTCTAGGTTTGGTTTGGTTTTCCAGTTGTGTCTGGGATTTGGTGAGGGCCTGGTCTAGATGCAGGGATAGGATGGTTGTGTGGTGATCGTATCACAAAAAGGGGCAGTTGTCGGCTGTGTCGGTGTCTAGGGTTGGTTTGGTTTTCCGGCTGTTTCGGTGTTTTCTCGTCCCGATGCTTTTTTGGTTTGCTTGGTTTCTGGGTTAGCTAGTCATGCTTGTGGGTGGAGTGAAATCTTAACTGCATTACAACATTAATTATATTATTGTTCGTTTCGTTTTTGTGATTGATTCGATTCGGCATTTGCTTCGCAATTCTGCAGGCGTTTCCGTGTTATTGTTGCGGTGGGAATCCGAATCTTGCAACCTTATAGATCATTAGACCCATGTATGTAGTGGCGCAAACATAACCGACCGTGGCAACTAAAATTCCATATACATACAAAAGTCTATAATTTTGAGAAACTGAATAAATTACTCAAAAGTGGGAAGCTTTTTCCCGTTCGTCTACAAATGTTCTTCCGTTTTCTAAAAATATACGTATTGATAGTCTAATACTATATATTATATGTATTAATGTCCTTTTTTGTCCCATGTAATAGAAGAATATAGAAAGAAATCTTCTTTGTTATTCACTCGATATTATCTCCTATCAAATCCCTTAGAATTAGCTTTCTTGTTTCCCAAACTACAGCTCACGCTCGTGTATATATATTTGTAAACTATCATTGATAATAATAAGGGAATACAATTCCATCTTCAGTATATGGTATCAGAGCCATATCTGTCTAACGACATCTAAATTTTTTTTTTCGTCTTTGCGTGCCCGTGTCTAACCCTAGCCGCCATGGCCACAGATCCTACAAGCTCCGACGGGTCTCCTCACATTGAGACGATCACTCCCCGCAACTCTGAAGATCCGAATGCTCCTCTCATCAACATCAACGTGACAAACGTCACCAAGCTATCCGCCACCAACTATCTCACTTGGAGTCTTCAGATCCGTTCTTTGCTTCAAGGTTACAATCTTGAAGATTACTTAGACGACACACAAGCTGTCCCTCCCACCATCTCGGAGAACAACACTGTCAAGGCAAATCCGGCCTACCCCGTGTGGTTTCGCCAAGACCGCTTGATCTTCTCGGCTCTTCTCGGATCTATATCCCTCTCATGTCAAGCCCTCATCGCTCGCTCAGCTTCCACGGGCGAGGCTTGGACAACACTTGCATCCACTTATGGACGTTCTAGCCGAGGACACATCAAGCAAATTAAGGAGAACATGCGACGATTTGTCAAAGGAAGCAAATGTATTGACGACTACATGCACTTCTACAAAATCAAAGCCGACGAACTTGCCCTCCTCGGTAAGCCTCTTGACCATGAGGATCTTGTCGATCTTGTTCTTGCCGGGCTCGGTGATGAATTTAAGCCTGTCAAAGACGCCATCAACGCTCGAGATCTACCAATCTCCTTTGTCGAACTACATGAGAAGCTCTTGAATCATGAGTCCGACCTTCACATCTCCGAGTCGCCAATGCAAACACTTCCGATTACTGCGAACAACACCCAAGCTCGTCCTCCTCGCAATTTCACCAACCGACCACCATGGCAGCAAGCTCCGAAACAACAAGGAAGCTCAACCAACAGTTGGCAACGTCGACCCTCCTCCGGCTACCAAGGCAAATGTCAACTGTGTGGAATAGTTGGTCATAGCGCAAAACGATGCAATCTTCTTCGCAATGTGAACCTCCCTCACATGCACTCTCCGGGATCCACCACCCAGCCGAGTTGGCAAGCTCAAGCCAACCCCACGTCGGTGACTTCCCAGCCATCCTCTCCCACGTGGTTGCTTGATTCCGGAGCCTCCCATCACATAACGTCGGACCTTGCCAGCCTCTCTCTTCATTCTCCATACATGGGCGGTGATGATGTCGAGCTAGGAGACGGATCGGGTCACTCCATAACCCACACCGGTTCCATATCCCTTCCCTCTAACTCTCATCATTTTTCCCTTCATAATGTCCTTTGTGTACCATCTTTACGGAAAAACCTCATCTCTATTCATCAGTTGTGTACCTCTAATAACGTATCGGTTGAATTCTTCCCCTTGTACTTTCAGGTGAAGGATCTCAAAACGGGGGCAAAACTCACAACCGGATTGCTTAAAGATGGTGTCTATGAGTGGCCGTTGATTCCCCGTTCTATTCCATTGTCTTCTCCTCATGTTTTTACTTCAATAAAATCTACCATTTCCGATTGGCACTCTCGGTTAGGACATCCTTCGATAGATGTTTTGAATAAAACCATTGATCTTTTCTCTCTTCCGTTGTCATCCAAAAACACTAAGTCCTTTTTGTGTGAGGCTTGCTCTATTCATAAGAGTCATAAGCTCCCTTTTTCCGTTTCCACGTTAAAATCATCTCGTCCCCTTGAAATACTATTTTCGGATGTATGGACTTCCCCGATTATTTCGTTTGATGGATTTAAGTACTATGTTATATTTGTGGATCACTTTTCTCGGTATACATGGTTTTATCCATTGCAACGTAAATCTCAAGTCCTCGACATCTTTCCCCGATTTAAAACGCTTGTCGAAAATCGTTTTGGTCAAAAAATTCAAACCTTATACACCGACAATGGAGGAGAATACGTAGCCTTGCGTTCATTCCTCTCCATTCACGGTATCACACATCTCACCACGCCCCCTCATACGCCTGAACATAATGGAATCTCGGAGCGAAAGCATCGACACATTATGGAAACGGGTCTTTCACTCTTATCACACGCCTCTATCCCATTAGCCTATTGGACTTTTGCCTTTCCAACAGCGGTTTATCTTATAAATCGACTACCAACCAAAATTCTTGATCATAACTCGCCTTTCAAATCTCTCTTTGCGTCTAATCCGAACTATACAAAACTTCGTACGTTCGGATGTCTTTGTTTCCTGTGGTTGCGTCCATATTCCCGACATAAATTGGATCCTAGGTCTACTCCGTGTGTTTTTGTCGGATATTCATTGTCTCAAAACTCGTTTCTTTGTCTTGACCCAACCACGTCTCGAGTTTACTCGTCCCGCCATGTCACCTTCTTTGAGTCATCCTACCCATTCTCTCGTCTTTCAAATGCCACGACCTCTTCTCATGTTGATGACATTCCTCTTGTCACAACTTCTCCACCTTTTACTCTTGTTCCGAATCGCCCACTCATTACACCATCATTGGCGCCGGAGCCTACCGCGACGGATTCTTCACTGCACTCTCCAATACCAACCGCGCCTAGTGAACCACAAAGCTCTCATGACACATCTTCCACTAACCCTCAATCCAATCCCACCTCACCAGCCATCGAGTCTCCCTACCATCGATCCTCTGATCCGTTACCCGACACTCAAAACGTCAACCCAACACAGTTACCTTGTCACCCAAGCAACCGCCACCGAATGACTACTCGGTCTAAAAACCAAATATCCAAACCCAACACCAAATACGCTCATCACCTCACCACCCACCCGTCCATGGAGCTTGAACCGACCACCGTCTCTCAAGCTCTTCGATCACCGTCTTGGCGACAAGCTATGACAGAAGAATTCGATGCTCTAGTGAAGAATGGAACTTGGGATTTGGTTCCACCACATCCATCGTACAACATCGTCGGCTGTAAGTGGGTGTTTAAAACTAAACGACATGCGGATGGTTCTTTTGACAGGTGCAAGGCGAGGCTCGTGGCAAAGGGATTTCACCAAAGACCGGGAATAGACTACCATGACACATTCAGCCCCGTTGTGAAGCCGGCAACCATTCGTCTTGTGTTGAGCATTGCCGTGACTAATGGTTGGTCTTTACGTCAACTAGACGTAAACAATGCCTTCCTTCAAGGCCGGCTACATGACAACGTTTACATGATGCAACCTCCGGGCTTCGTTGATCAAGATCGTTCCCATCATGTATGCAAACTTCAGAAGGCGATTTATGGCCTCAAACAAGCACCAAGGGCTTGGTACAACGAGCTTCGTCTCTTCCTCCTAGCGTCGGGATTCACGAATTCCTTGGCAGACACGTCTTTGTTCGTCTTCCGAAAAGGGGCAACGACACTCTATGTCCTCGTCTATGTTGATGACATAGTGGTTACGGGGAATGATTCACTTTGCTGCCAAGCCTTTATTAAATCTCTCTCGGACAGATTTTCCATCAAAGACCTTGGAGATCTATCCTTCTTCTTGGGTGTGGAGGTCACTCGTTCTACATCGGGCCTTCATCTCACTCAGCGCCGCTATATAGAGGATCTACTCAAGCGCACAAACATGATGAATTCTAAACCGGTCTCTACTCCTATGGCATCCACGACGTCTCTTACTCTCTCGGTCGGTGTCGCTCTTGATGACCCAAGTGAGTATCGAAATGTTGTTGGAAGCCTACAATATCTACACTTCACAAGACCCGATATTGCCTTCTCCGTCAACAAACTATCTCAATTCATGCATCGCCCCACCACCGAGCATTGGCAAGCAGTGAAAAGAGTCCTACGCTACCTTGTCGGGTCATCTACACTTGGACTCTTCTTCTCCGCCAATAACTCTTCCTCCCTACATGCGTTCTCCGATGCCGATTGGGGTGGAAACCGGGATGACTTCACCTCCACGAGTGCCCACGTAGTGTACAATGGGAGACACCCCATATCTTGGTCGTCGAAGAAACAACGAATCGCCGCCCGCTCTTCGACGGAATCCGAATATAAGGCTGTTGCCTCTACAGCATCTGAGGTACGTTGGCTGTCCTCTCTTCTTCACGAACTTGGTATTACATCTTGCACTCCACCGGTGATATTCTGCGACAATGTTGGAGCCACATACCTATGTTCAAACCCGATATTCCACTCTCGAATGAAGCACGTTGCGATCGACTACCATTTCATTCGAGGTTTGGTTCAAGATGGTCTTCTCCGTGTATCGCACGTCTCCTCGCACGATCAGCTCGCGGACGCTCTAACTAAACCATTACCACGTGCGAGGTTTGATCTTCTTCGGGTCAAGATGGGTCTCGCCTACGAGCCTCATCTTGCGGGGGCATAATAGAAGAATATAGAAAGAAATCTTCTTTGTTATTCACTCGATATTATCTCCTATCAAATCCCTTAGAATTAGCTTTCTTGTTTCCCAAACTACAGCTCACGCTCGTGTATATATGTTTGTAAACTATCATTGATAATAATAAGGGAATACAATTCCATCTTCAGTATACCATGTTTCTGGGATTCTCAAGTCCTCTAAATCTGATGATGGGTCGTATCGTATCACTTGCTGCTGACGTTAAGGTGACGCGAGCCATGCGTCAAGATAATAATAAATGATTAGTGAAACGAACAAGATGCTGTTTTTTTTTTTTGGGGGATCACATCAAATAAAATTCAGCATCATCATCATTGTTGTTAAGGGTTACAAGCAATAAATTAATTTGAACTGTTGAAGCAGCCACAAAAAAATAAGATAGCGATCAAAAAGAGGTTGCGTCGACATTTTAATTAAATCCTCCATTAATATTACGGCGACAGATCGTTTTATGAGAGCCACTCATTGGAATCTTGCGTGAATTGCATTGCATTCTGTTTCTTAATCACATTTTACGTACAGTTATTTCTTTTCTAATTCATTATTTTGTTTGAATAAATGATTTTATTCTTGAATCGAATTTGATTTTATGGGATTCGATTTTACTTAGTTTGGATACGTTAGAAAATCGAATAAATTCCAGAGGATCGATCTTGTATGTTTATAACATGGTTACCCTATATACATATATATATATATATATATAATTAGCCAATCAATTATGGTATACCTAAGCCTCCTATTCAATATTGTGATGTGAATATAATGTCCGGGCCGTTGTATTTATTTATTATGGAGAGACTTTAACTACGCAGCTTCTGTGAACGCATTTCTATGTAAAAATAAATAAATAAATAAATAAATATACGTGTGGAAAACACATGGGCTTCGTGTTTTCCGCCCTCGGCAATGACTGCGAGGTCCCACGTACCAAGAAACAGATTTTGTCCGAAGAGACGGGAAATTAGGACCGAACCAGAGGGGTTTCAATAGTTATAACATAACCGACAAATTTGATGGGACCCTCTCATTAATTATTTTTCATTATACATGACTTTTTTCCTCAGCATATTGGTAACTTGTTCAATTTCATATTTTTATTTCATCCAAAGTTACGGTAATGAGAACGTACCAGAACAGTGACGCGTTCTTCTTCTTCTTACTATTGAGATCCAATAATTCTTTTTTGTGTCTACGTAAAGAACTTGAGAATTTCAAAAGTTTTTTTGATTGACCGAAAAATATCTTAAACGGTATTTAACTACGAACCCTTATTTTAAAATTTTGTATATTCAGATTAATTTTCATCCGTTTTTATATCAATACATGAAACTATACAAAAATTGATTTCAAAGATATTACTTTATTCTTAAAATAGAGTTTAAACCTCTAATTAACCCCCGGTTTAAAGACAAAGATTTTGAACATCTACACCAATATACGCCAACCCTTTGAGTTAATTTCAAACATTTTTTAGATATATGGATATGAATGAAAAATATGCTATCAATATTAAATTTCCATTGTGATATCTTTAATAATCAATAATTACATACCAAATCCTATCAATATTTTAAAAAGTTTACAGTCATGTACAAAAAAGAAACAGAAGATCGCTTCAGTTATTCAGCGTTCCACGTATTGGAACGCCGATTTACCAAAATTTGCGTCAATCATAAGAACAAACGCAAAAAACTTTTGCTCTCCCATCGGTTTTAACGAACCAAAACCGTTATCTAACCGACACGTGATGCATAACCGCTGAATTCCGCGTTTTCTAACCGCTAAAACGAAAACTCTACGACTTATCAAGCGAGTAGAACCTGCGGTTGCGCCCGTGCAAAACCGCGGCGAGAACCGCGGCGAGAGAACAAAGCAATGCCCAAACGAACAAAGTGGTCTCAAAGCAATGCATCCCCTCGCACTCTCCGTCGCTGCCGCCGCTCGCTCCCTCGCGATACACGTTTGCGGCCAACCATCCGAACGCGAACGAGCCTAAGGGTATATTCGCGACCACGATGTTGTGGTTAACGCCGAAGTTCTTCGTCCCGAAGAGCTCGGCGGTCGTCGTCACCGCCAGGGACGTGACCACTCCGGTGGAAACGCCTATCGCGGCCGTGCTAGCGTATAACGCCATGTCAGATTCTACGAGGAGGACGAAGAACGCGGAGGCCATAAACGCTAGGGATACCGCCATTGACGCCGGGCTCGACGGCATGTGTTTGCTCCTGCGGCGTTTTGGTCGCAGACGTGAGTTCAATATATATGTGCATTTTAGTTTTTAAATTAATTAAATATAATATCGCCGAAATAATGGGAAAATGGATTGCAATAATAAAAGGAGGTTGTCTAAGGTTGTTCAATGCATCAACCAAACGCAATAATGGAGATAACGCACTCTTTTCTAGCTAATTTCGCGGACAAAAGTCAACGTAATTCTACAAGTCTCTGACTTTATATGTTACCTTGAGAAGAAGTACTCGAGCAAGGAAGGTAATAAACGGCCGAAAAACCCGGAGGAGGAGGAGAGAGCGACCAGAGACGCAGTCGCGGTACAACCGCGAGATTCTGCGATTTGTCCGAGGTTGTTCAAGAACACAAGCCCCACGGTTGGACCGCAAAGGTAAACGCTGAAATATATCCAGAAATCGATTTTCTTCCAAAGCTCTGTCCATTTGATTTCCTCCTTGACGCCGACCGCGTTACAAAACGCTTCTTCTCCCTCCCCTTTAACGGTTTCTTCTCCAACGCGAACGCGAACGCTCCGAGGGGAGAATTCCTCGTCGTGCACCTTAATTATTACAAAAAGCGAAGGGAAATAAATGTGGGCTGCCTATAACTTCCGAAATAAGTTCTTTTATGGGAAATCAAATGAGTGATACATTAACCTAACAAATCTTCTATCGATCGATTTGTAACCAAAAACTAAAATTTGGTATAACCTTCGAAATGATATAACCAAGTTATGAATTTGAGAGATAGAGTGTTCTGAACCACGTTCAACTATGAACCGATATCTTTAAACTTGCATATTCAAACTAATCATCGTTCGTGCATGTATTTAACGCATTAAACGGTAAAAGACTGGTCTAAAGGCTTACTCTATTTCCAAAATAGGATTCGAATTCCTGATAAGTGATTAAAGGATAAAGATGTTGGATCATCCACGTCAAGATTTAGGTTATGGTCCTCCATTTTTACAAGCTTTTAAAACCATCATTTGGGTTGGCAGAAATCATTTTAACATTATGATAGAAAGAGAAAATGACTATTAATTTCACTCTGGTCAGTCAAAAGTCGGGATATTCGTTTGGACTTTCCAGCTTTTTTTCCCCCAAAAATATTATTTGCTTGTTCACATACAAACCCACCAAATATATAATATGAATCATAATTATTAAAAAAATAAATAACAATGTGAATCATTAGGCCGTGAATGTTATTTACTTTAATTAAAAGATCGAATAAAAACGTACCTTTTGGTGATTTTTGCGGGTAAACATGATCTCCTCTAATTGAAATCCAAGAGGAATAGCCAAAGGAGCAAGAAGAAGCAGAACGATGCCTGTCAATACCAAAATCTCCGGAGCCGGAACAAGACTCGTCACCACCGCATAAACCCCGGTCGCGGTCGTGACGATAAACATCACCACGAACCCGATTTTCGCGTCCGAAGACGCGCCGAGCTCTGCGTCCGCGATCACAAACGCTGTTACTCCGCAGACAATCAGCGGCACGAGCGCGTTCAAGACGAGATATCCGGCGGTCGAGTCGCTGGGAGACGCGGAGAAAAAGGCGTTCACGATGTCAGTATAGATCTTCCCGCTCAAGCCCTGGTAACTCGCCGTGATGCCGACGGCGACCTGACGGTTCGCCGGAAAGTTGTTGATGGCGACGGTGTAACACGTGGTGTTGATCCAACAAATGCTGTTTCCCGCGAGGAAGCTGAGGACCCAGATGGCGGGAAAAGACGGAGAGAACATTTTCTTGACGATGATGAGGTACTGGAGGCCGTAGCCGGCGAAGCCAAGCGAGCCGCCGGCGATGAGGACGAGGCGAAGAGGGAGGGGGACGGCGGCGATGCCGGAGATGAAGCCGAGGAGTTTTCCGGCGTCGGAGGCGAAGGCGAGGTAGTTCAGCTTTATCTGAGAGATGGAGAGAGACTGCTTCAGCTGCGAGGAGTAGGCCGGAAAGCTGAGGTTAGTGCCGTTGATGGACTGGAGCCAGATGACGGCGACGAGGCAGAGCCACCGGAGAACGGAGGGTGACATGTCGAAGAGATTGAGCACCTCAACGATACATATAATATATATGTATATATATATGTGTGTGTGTTATGTTTTTTTTTTTGGTTTGGTTATGAATATACGTAAGTGGGTTCTTGATTTTTTATTTTTTATTTTTGTTGGTAAGGAAAATGATCAAGAACAAATGGAGTTTAGGAGTAGAGTCCTTCGGGTTTATATTTAGGTTTTGAGAATAGATGGAGATGGATGTGTGTGTGTATATATATATATAATTAATGAATGAATTAATGGCGGGGAACAAGCGGTGTTGTGGTTACGAGAGTGAAGATGTGTTTGTTTTAAAAATCATGTAATGTGTGACGTGCCCTTCTCATTTATATCGAATATATACACTGTTCCAATGTACGTACGTACGTACGTACTATTCGGTAAAAAGAAAATGCATGTATTTGAATATCAGTGGATGCCACGTCGGTTCCAAAATCATGTTAAGTTAGAATTTCAGATTTTAATTTAAATATTCATTATATATATATATATATATTAACATAGAAACATAAGTGTATGAAAAATGTGTAATAGCAGAGGAGAATGAAGAATTCAGGCTCAAACTACATAAATACCGTCGTAACGCGATAATAGACGAGAGAGTGGACTTTTATGGCGAAAATTATTTTTATATAAGTTATTTCACAGTTGTGTTTTAAGGCGATAATTGCACAATTATTTAAGACTAAAAAAATAATATGGAATATAAGATTCATAATTCAATTATGGAGATGATCAATGCCCATGTTTCTCACAGCATGCCAAGGTTTACGTTCTTAAAACGTATACAGCCTCTGACCACCTTTTGTATTATCACTTTTCTCCAATAATTTTCGACGTGCGAATTAAATATAAATAATAGTAATATATTAGAATTAGGCGTAGAATTTAGGAAAATGCATTTTGAAGCGTGCCGGACATTACACACAGTGTGTCCGCTTGTTACAATGCATTTTGAGATGCTTTTATTTTTATTTTTTTAAAATAAATATGTTAATTATGATTATTATTTAATTATCTTTTCCATAAACGATAGAGGAGGGGAATAAGAGAAAAGCCCAACTAGTAAGGCCCATTAGTGTATGTAATCTATTAATCTAATTAGCGGCGTTACAAAAAAAAAAAAACCTTAAACGATTAAACGGTGTCGTTCTGTCGTAAAGCGCTCACGTTCATAACACGTCTTCCGTGTGCGCCATTGTTCGAATACTGTACTAAGTTCCCCTCTAGTTGGCGGGATCTATTAAACCCTAGAATTCCCTCGTCTAACCGAGAGAATTTTTCTAATCGGAACCCTAGAAATCGGGCCTTAGCGTTCTCTAACCGGAACCCTAGAGTGCTAAACCCCTCTCTTGTCCGCACCGTCATATCGCCCGCCGCAGACCTCAAATTCTGGAGACGACGTCTTAGGTATCGCATTTCTGTACCAAGGATTTCTCTGATGTTATTCTCGGTCATCAATTTGGGCTGGGATGATACTTTTATCTGAAACGTCGCTTAAGCTTTTGGTTTTTCGATTTTAGGCTGTTCTAAGATTTTGAGTCTTTGTCTCGTAATAGGCCCTCAATTCGCAATTCAGCAGATGTTTCTGTGTTATTATTCTGCTGGGAATCTGAATCTTGCAACCTTATAGACCGAATGTAGAAGCTTTTGGGGCAGATCATTAGGCCCATGTAGGCCAGCCTTTGTAATTTTTCATGTTTGTTCTACTCTTTTTTTTTCCGAAGTGGTAGTTTCTCAATTTCCGGTTAGGTTGATAGAAGTAAAATTAGCTAATCATTGTTGGTTTTCGCTCTACACCTGTAATTTGGAAGAAACCCTGATATTGGTCTATCTATGCTTGCAATTTGTATATTCTGTTTTGTTTAAACCATTCCATATACATACAAAATTCTATAGACATGGGTCGAACCAGTAACTTTGAGAAATTGAATTAACACTTTGGTGGTCAGGGTTTCCGTCTAAAGGTGTGGACGCGATCTGTTGTTTCCCTATGGAAACGGTAGGTGAAAGCTCTTCGATCCAGGAGACTGTCGTGGAGAAGCCTGTAGTCGTCAGGGTTAAGCGGAAAGTGGACCAGTCTCCACTTGATGCTTTCTGTAAGATCCTATATCCTCATCCATTTTTGCTCGTTTCCTTACATAATTCACTGGAAAGTTTTCTTGGATCTGCCACTCTTTCATACAACGGGTCTGATTTCTATGTTAGTTGCGGAATTCATTTGAGACTGAATGTTTGTTTAATGGAATTTAGGGCTGGAAATTAATGAAAGACCATTCAAGCGTCCGCTTTTGGACCTGGCGAAACTATCAATTTCCAATTCGGCCGAAAAAGGTTTTTTTTGTCTTTCTGCTTAGTCATCTCGGTTTGCTTTATTTTCTGGCACTTGTGCTCCACGTTCTTTGTATATTTGGTGTGATTGGTTATAGAACTCTGTTGTTTTGTACTTGGTGAAACTCATTATTGTTCACGGGGATATGTTCTTCATAGCAGAAAAATTGAAATCGAAGAAGGTGCTTGTGCGGCATGTGGAGACTGTGGCCGACTCCAATGCCACCATTGACATGCTTCAATCTTTATTTGTAAGTACTTATCCATGTTTTGCTTTGTTTCTGTCCCCTTTGATTTCTGACTGCTTCTAATATCTTTGTTATGTTCGATAGGATTCTGTTTCCAGTGAACAGGGTAGCAATAAAGAAAAGATCGAGGAGCGGAAAAATACCTTCAAAAGAGACAATGTATCTTGTTAAGAAATCATTTCTCTTGGTGGTTTCAAATGGTTATATATTGATTGCTTATCGAATGATAAGTTATGTTCCAATTTCTGTTTACAGCGAAAAGACCAACTATTGACCAAGGCAGTGCAACAGCAACAAGTAAGTAACTTACGGCCACAGACTTTGTCACTTTGTTCTGTTTCAACTTAGTCTATAACCAAAACCCTTTCAAATGAGTATCACGAGAATCACCTTTATTGTCTTAACCATATAATAAAAAAAGTCTGTTTTTTTTAATAGGTTGCTGCTAAAAATGCTCGTCTTGAGCAAATATGGCGGAGTAGGAAGGGAAACAAGGAGGGGGATCATGATAAAACGCTTCATGAAATGTGTCATTTTTATGATGTTGTACGCGTTGACGTTGAAGAAGGACCGAAAGCTGCACCAATGGAAGAGTAAGTTCTCTAGCACGAGCTTAGTGCTATGCACTTTCATATTCTAGAATCCGACTTTTGTAAACTGTTCTGCCATGTGAATAAAGAAAACATTATTGACAGCCCTTTGTATCTTACCCTAGGCTTCCATCCTTAGAGGAACAGAAAATGTTGGCTAGTTACTTACCTCTCCTGAGAGAGTTAATTCCAGATGCAGCGAAGGAGATTGAATCTGATATCCTCAGTTACATGCCCAATCAGACAGAAGAATATGTTTATGATTTTTACACCATCAAAGATGAGATGGATGTCAATGTAGATGATCATGTCGATTCATTTCCGCTGTAAGTATCTTTTCTTATGCTCTTTATATGCTCCGCTAGTTTCTTGTGTTAATTTGATTCCTGTTTTTATTCAGTGTTCAAGTGGAGGATGAAGATTTTTACGATGGACCCGATGAGTCAGAGTATGAAAGTGATGATTCAAATGGTATTTATTAACATCCCCAACTCTCATTCCCTATTTTCACTTAAGCTTCTTTGAGGCTTCTTAAAATCTTATACCTGTTTTGTGTCACTTTAGTTCTGTGTGATGTTCTGAGGGACACACACATTCACTGATGACTTGTATCGTATTGGTCTAGTTATAATTTTACTTCCTTTGAAATTGGATAGTGAGTGATTTGATTGGTTGGATTTTATATTCAACCCGGGTTTTGATGATCTTATATTCAACCCGAGATTTGGAAAGAAACACTGTATACAGATGTGCTGTTACGACTGAGTATTTTCTTTGTGGATATCAGCTGAGGATAATCCAAGGAATGATTACCCAGAGGAGATCTCTGATGAGGAAGACGAGGAAGAAGATGATGATGATGATGATGATGATGATGAGGAAGAGGAGGAAGACAGTCAAGCTTCTGATGAGTCAGAAGACGAGAGCTCTAGCTACAGGTACATGCGAGGTAACCATAGAGTGAATGAAGACGATGAGTTCGATGATTATGGGGAGGACGGGAGCGAAGATGAGCACCGGAAATGGTCATACCGTTAAAGTGTTGTTAGTTTTGAGATCAAAATGGGGAAGATGATGTTTCTACTACTACTACTGCTGCTGCTTACCTTACTAAAAATGGCTAATATTGGGATCCAACCTAAGTGTAACTATGTGAAGCCCCCCCCCCGCAAGTGGACTTTAACTTTCACCTACCTTTCCGAATTTCCTCCCGT